AGAACTCAGTTGTCAGTAGTCGTTGAGTGTAATTGAGTTGAGGCTGGCAATTTTCAGACCACATAAAATTGTGAGATGCAGTACAAAGAGAGTTGATATTGCAATGCTAAATAGATTGACGGTTGAAAATTATGACACGTTTTTGTTTAGTATATTTTTGCAAAATGAAGAAGACGATCAATTACTGTTCTCTGTAAGTAAGATTGATTGATTTCACAGTACAGACAAGTGTTTCATGATGAACTGCAAAGGCTGATTCTTCTCTGTACCAAACACTTACACTAAGCATTGGTTGTGTCATGTCATGTGTGTTTATGTACAAGTCTTTGTTTTGGTTGCATAAACTCAAATTAATGTTTAATTCCATTTATTATAAGCTCAAAGATACATATAGCTTTTCTCTGTTAACGATGTCATCGTTGTAACAAAACTGAACAAATCCTTTCTAGGGCTACCCAACATCGTATCTCAATGATCGGAAAAATCTATGTTTTGAGCAATTCTTAAAGAATTATCCTCGTAAAAAATCATCAGCATCCGAAGTTAATTAATTAATTTGTTAGTTCACGTGGCACAGTAAAACATGATAAGAGAGTCATTACATTGCTCTTGGACCACATAATTGGTTAACGGACTTATTAGCGATACGAGGGACAATTATTTGTGCACGAAAACGTCTAGAAATGAACCTTAAAGTAGTAAAGTCTAAAACTCAAGTTACAAATGGAAAAGTCAAATGATGCTATATAGAAATTAACTTGCCCTCCACGGAAGTAAATAATATATGCATGCATGACTGCATATGGTCCTTAATTAATCTAGGTGCAATGCATATATAGTTTATTAGAAAAAAACAGTAGTCAAGGTCGCTAAGGCACCTTACATGTTCTGTTGACCTAATGCGTATTACAAGCCATGTGCTGTAAAGTAGAAAGAATCAAAATGTTTGATCAAAACACACTCAGACTCAATTCAATTCAATTCATATTCCAATGACTTGGAGCCAAAGCAAATATATTCACCTCGTGACATCGTACTAGTAGTATCAAAAACATTTCTTTTCTCTCTCCAAGACACCGAAACAATGTCATGAAGAAAACAACACACACATAATGACTTGCGTTGTGTTGTTGACAGCAGAAAAAAAGACACCAATAATACAAACCCTAAGCTACGTGCGAGAGAGATTCTTAATTGTACTCTATTATTCTGGGATTCCGTCGACCACCATAGACTGTGTATGGCTTTCGCTGCTTAACATGTGTAGCCCTTGATCTGGCCCCACGTTTCACCGTACAAGCTCTGCCTGGGCGCCATGTGTCGACATCTGATACTTGTCTGTGGGAAAAGGCTAGACTATGCTAGTTGATGATGAATAAAAAAGGGATGCTCGGGCACACGAGTGGTGTCTGGGGTGGAACACAACAGCGTGCGTGGCTATTGTCCCTATGGGAGACACACAGGCCAGGGCCTATGTGTTTCTCCATCGGACACGTCGGTTCTGATGCCATTTAGGGATCCGTAAATGTTTCTTGTTGTGTCCACGGCAGACACGTCGGTTCTCCTGCTTAATCCTTGTTAAGCAGAGATCGTTATTTACGAAGCTGTTTATTTATGGGTCGAAATACTAAAGTTGATTCAATAATGAAAAAGATCTTGATTAATTAGGTTATATTGATTGTTGTTATGATGATTCACGAGTTAAATCAAATACAGTGACGATGATTCATCGAAAAAATAACAGACATGCATGCAGACATTGTTAAGAAAGAAAGACAATAAAAGCATAGATTTAGGCGAAGAACACGGAATCACTTTTGGATTGAGAAAAGGGTTTCTTTATACTTGGATTTTTGTTCTGTTTCAGAGCATCTCTAACTCCAAAATCCTGCTGCAGTAATAATTAAAGTATAAATTACAACAAAAATCTCCAGGCTCACAAGAAGGTACATGTAATGTGAACATCTTTATAAGTTATAAATTATAAAAGACCATGTAATGTGAACATCGTTATAAATTAATAATATAAAGGTATCTTTTTAATACGCATGCATTGGAGACAGAGACTTTTGAATATCAATTAATGTGGTAATGTTTCATAAACTACGGAAAAAATAAGTTGAAAAATGAACTAAGATTAAAAACAAATGGAACATTATCGCAACAGTTGGTATTCAAAAATTAATGTCTTCAGTATTGTGACGTAAAAAATTGTTAATATGTGATCATGATGTAATTAATACTGTTTTAAGATGTTAATATGTGAACATCCTTATAATATATAATAATAAAGGACCATGTAATGTGAACATGGTTAGAATAATACAAAGATACCCTCCAAATTTGGGTTCATTAACAAAACAAATGCCATGCATGCATTAGGCCAAAAACTTTTGAATACCAACTAATGTGGTAGTGTTTTATTCATTACCGAAAATAAAGTTCAAAGGGAGTTGAAACTGAAAACAAATGAAATCCATGAGTCATCATCTCTTTCTATAATTCTCTGTGCTGCGAATCATAAGAAATCCACGAGATCCAACCACATATATTAATTAATGGTCTTTATTTAGTCTAACAGCGAATAGCTCTTTTCCTCACAAGAACCTTTTCTTATTCATATTCTTTGCATGCGATTTACCTTGATTTCATTGACTATGAGTACTTTCCTACACTAATTGCATTATTGGGTGCGCACACTCTCTCCAAAACACAAAACAATGGGAGAAATCTGAAAACTGGTTAAGCATTCCATGGTATGTGTTTTAAAAAACTTAAAGTATTGAGAGAGCAATTGACTAAGACATTAAATACATGCATTAAGTTCTGGGATTATTTTTTTTACAAATTTATAAATAAACCCAATCATAAACATGTATTTATAAAAATAAAAAAAACTCAAGCACTATTTAAACATAGAAACACACCCAAAATCAACAATTGTATATTTTTGGGTGTGTTTATAAATGAGTTTTGAGTCTGTGTAATGATGGGTTTGGGTGTGTTTATAAAGTGTTTTGGGTGTTAGGTGTTTTTATAATTTCAGCCCCCATTTTAGGTGTTTTAGTGAAACTCCCTTATTTTCTTGGGTTATTCTCTTGACCGTAGGGACTAATGGTGCAACACAACACCTAATTGAGTGACCTATATAACTATTTTTGGAGTTCAGTGACCAAAATATAACACCGAGTATAGTTGAGGGACCATTGCTATAAATAACCCTTATTTATTTATTTTTTGTTATTTCATTTTTATAAATATTTGGAATGAATTTCCAAGTTTACCCATGGATTTAACAGAAAAATAAACAGACTTGATGGGAGGGACTAGTAATGCAACACCATACATAATTAGGGGACCTTTGCAGCTATTTTTGGAGTTGAGTGACCAAAATGTAACTACGGGTATAGTTCAAGGACCATTGCTACAATTAATCCTATTTTCTTTTCTAACATGTTCAACAGAGAATAAAAAAATTGAATAAAAGGAAAACGAAAAAAGAAAGTTGAGAAGAAAAGGATTTTGTGAAAAGAGTTTCAAGTTCTTAGGCTAGATCATACAAAGAGAATGAATAAAATTGAGTGTAGAGGACCAAAAAAAATAACCATAACACATTGTTACTTATGCTGGATATGCTCTGACACTCATAACACATTGTTATGTACATCGAACTATCCATGCATAGGAGTTTTTCTTTGACAGTCTTACGTTGTGGTGGGTTGTTTTTTGCGAGGCTTGGAGTTGTGCTTTGTTTTGTCTCTATTCTTTTGGGTTCTTTTGTTGACACATGAAGTTGGTATTGGTACTTATGCTGGCTAAGTTATGTTGTTCACGACACATCATTTTGTACATTAAACTATGCGTGCATAGGAGTTTTTCTTTTACAGTCTTACGTTGTGGTGGGTTGTTTTTTGGAGGGCTTGGAGATGTGCTTTGTTTTGTATGTTTTCTTTCGGGATCTTTGTAGTAGTCCAAATTGGCATGTGTCGGACTCTCTTGTTAGTCCAAGATATGTGTTGTATTCTTTCCTACCATGGGGTTTGTCCCATGTGATTTTCCTATGAAGGTTTTAATAAGGTCGTTGTTTCGTGCCTGTCTTTGTATGTCTCTTTGGATTATGAATGAAATCCTTTTCTAAAACTATCATTGACATTACGTGCCCATTAAAACTATCAATGACTTTAGCCTTTCTAGTATAAAGAGTAGCTCAAAATATGCACTTGTAGTCATTTTAATATTATTAATGAGTAATGGAAAAGACAAATCAGCAATTAGTCTAATGTTACTTCTCTTCTTAACATTCCGTATCCTATTGGCAAACATAAGTTATAAGCTTAATCCCGAATCGCATGTCTTTGATGTGGCGCCCCTTTCTATGTTGAGGTTTAACTACTGATCTCTGTAGTTTAGGTAAGCCCAGAATGGTTGCTGTTTGTCTTTAGTTCTTTGGGATTCGGTCATTATATAGAGTAATATAGGTGATTGCTATGTATATGCCATGCCGCCTATGTAAAGCTGATCCGTTCCCAACTTTTAAGTCAAATTGGAAAAAAATAACTAGCCCAACTGCTGGTTTTCATTTCACTTCATAACCAGGGTGGTCTGAGTCGCTTGTTTTGACCCAGAGAATTCACATTACAAGGGGCGATCAAGGCCTCCCTATACAAAAGGAATCGTTTACTAAATTGGGAGAGCGCCGTTAGCCGAAGCTAGTTTTGGATTGGCGAGTGTCCAATTTTCCCCACTTGAAGTACATTTAAGGAAATTAAAGATAAAAACAGCTCCTCTCCAAACAAATCGATGGGTGGTTAGGCACACGTGGCAGAAGCCCACAAGGGGTGCGACGGCAAAGGAATGTCGGCCACGTGGCCTCAACTCTTAGCTGGCTGTTACGGTGACGGCTGGGGACGGCGCCATAGGAAGAAGAAAAAGAAAAAGAAAAAGGTATAACTATTATACGTGCGTGCCTCTGGTGCAAATACGCAGAGAGAGAGAGAGAGATGGGTGGGGGTGGAGAAAGAGATGGCGGGGACCACCGATGGGGTGTGGTGTGGTGTGGTGGTGGTGGTGGCTCACATTGGGGATATCAGGGGATTGTGGGACCCATATCTTTTGGATGGGCCCTACATCTCGGTGGGACCGACGTTGAGGGAGTTTTTTTGGTCTGTTTTGGAAGCATCCGGTTGCTGCCACTATAAATGGACCATTCGGGGCTCTGTCTCTCTCGCATCCATACATACATACACTCCCTCTTACACTCTCTCTTCCTCTGAAAAACTTTGTGGCCTTCTTTTCTCTCTCTGTTTTGGATTTATAATAAATCCTCAATATCTTCAACCTCAGTCTCATATACGCGAGAATACAGAGTGCTCTGTTTTCTCCTCTGTTTTTCTGTTCTTCCACACCAGCACCTCAGTCTGCTCTCTCACTCTTCTGAATCTGTTTGTTTCTTCTTTTGAAGGTACACCTTCTTCAAAAGAACCTTAAATTTCTCAAATGGGTTTGCTTTAGTTTTGGGCTGAACTTTCCGGACCCCAAAAGACCTGAAGATAAAGACTTATTGTAATCTGTATTGACAAATGTGATTTTTGGTTGTTTTGCAGCGTGTTTTGACTAGATATGACGAAGCAGAATGTGGTAGTTTCCGATGCTGAAGCAGAAATCATGAACATGGCTATATCGGTGGCCGTTTCGAACTCTTCCATTTTCACGGCGGTGGCCGAAAAGCCTCCCGTGGGCCCGCCTGGGTACATCTCCATTTCCAGGAAGAGGTTCTTGAACTTGAATCTTGACAGCATCAATGGAGCTGAAAGAATCAACTCTTGGGTGGACTCAATGAGAGCTTCTTCTCCCACCCACTTAAAGTCCTCATCTTTTTTGAAAGAGGACCAAAGCTCATGGATTGTGAGTGCTAAAATTGCTTCTCTCTCTCTCTTAGCAATCAGTTCAAGAATATATAGATGTTAGAGTATTGGGTTTTAATTTGTGATATTATTGATGGATGAACAGCTTCAGCACCCATCAGCCTTGGACATGTTTGAGCAGATTATTGATGCTTCCAAAGGCAAGCAAATCGTCATGTTCATGGACTACGATGGCACACTATCCCCCATAGTTGAAGACCCAGATCGAGCTTTCATGTCTGATGCAGTAAGTAATTTCAATCTTGGTCTTTTTTTTTCCCCATATAGTTTCTTTCTTCTATTTTTTCCCAGTCTTTGTTTCTTAACTTTTCTGTAAAAACACAGATGAGAAAGACAGTGAAGAAAGTGGCTAGATGTTTTCCCACTGCCATAGTGAGTGGAAGATGCAGAGATAAGGTACATTTATTTTCAAGCTGTTTTTAGTCACTGCCTGCCTTTTATTTCTCTTGAATAAATTTTTATTTTTTTCTTGGTTCTGTAAATTGTGGAACTGTAGGTGTATAAATTTGTAAGGTTGGCAGAGCTGTACTATGCTGGTAGCCATGGTATGGACATTAAAGGTCCAGCCAAAGGTTCCAAATACAAGAAAGTAAGTGTCTTGTTTTATCACTGTCACCTAATCTCTCCTTGTCACTTTTCTTCTTTGCAATTTTTCCAAATAATTTATTCTTGTTTCTCTGCCTCCTTGATCACTCTTCAGGGCAGTCAAGGTGTTCTTTGCCAACCAGCAAGTGAATTTCTCCCAATGATTGATGAGGTTTACAAACTACTTGTTGAAAAGACCAAATCAACTCCTGGAGCCAAAGTGGAGAACAACAAGTTCTGCCTCTCTGTTCATTTCCGTTGCGTTGATGAAAAGGTATACGCACGTTTTTTTAATTGTTTTTTTAATCATTCAACGACTGTCTCTAGTCCACGAGAAGATCGTGTACACGTGCTTCTTTCGACTCAAAATGTGTTCTCTTCTGTTCATTAACATATCTGATTTGAACCAATGATATGACAGAAATGGAGTGAACTGGCCTTGCAAGTTAGATCCGTTTTGAAGGAGTTCCCAAAGCTCAGACTTACCCAAGGAAGAAAGGTACGTGTAACGTGTGGTGTCATGGCATCTAATTACTTGCCCCGCAGTCAATCTTCAAATTTTCATTTCCATTCATAAATTTTTGGGGTCGAGTGAGTATGTGGTGCAAGTAAGATATGTGTCTCACTTTCAATGTTGCTGCTCGTCTGACGCAGGTGCTAGAAATCCGTCCTACCATCAAATGGGACAAAGGCAAGGCTCTTGAATTTCTGCTAGAGTCACTAGGATATGCCAACTGCGCCGATGTCTTTCCTGTTTACATCGGAGATGATCGAACGGATGAAGATGCATTCAAGGTATCCAATGCTGAATCAAATATACAGGAACCCCTTTTGGTTTTGGTTTTGGTTTTTGTTTTTAATTTGATAAAAGTTGTTATTATACTTTTAATTAAAGACTAATGACTTTGAACTGTTATCAGATATTAAGGGAAAGAGGACAAGGTTTTGGCATTCTCGTCTCAAAAATTCCAAAGGAAACCACCGCGACGTATTCTTTACAGGAACCAGCTGAGGTGAGGGTCCAGTACTACTGTAGATGCCTTGTTGTACTTGTAACTTGTTTGTATCTTTTTTACTTCATCCAAATTAAATTTTCAGGTTTTTGGCTTGATTCTGATTTTTTATTTCTTAAATTTTCCAGGTTATGGACTTTCTCCAGCGTTTGGTTGAGTGGAAACGACAGTCAATTCGGGCCCATTCCATGCTGTAAAGACTAAAAGAGTAGAAGATATATATATATATTCCTAATTCACCCTTCCAAGAATTGTTCAAAGGGGTGGTTAATTTAGTCAGATAATGTAATTTTCTGTTGAGGTTAAGTTTGAAAAGACAAGAAAAAGGAAAAGGAAAATTGTGACTTTTTCTTGGCTTCACTGCCTTGTACATTTTGCAACTATCCTGTACAAGGAAATATATATATATATATATATGTATGTATGTATGTATGTATGTAACTCTGCAAGTTTATAAATGCATACTATTTGCTTGTCTTTTCATTGGACCTGATTGACTCAGTATGATTCTTCACCAGAGCAATTTCACCTTTCTTCAAACCCCCTTTTCCCGAGAAAATGGTCATCCATCATACCATCGCCTTTGAAGGATTCAATTGAAAAATGATAACGAAGCTGTTGGTTATTAATTATACGAAGCAAAGTACAAACCAAATAAGTTGCTCTACATTATTTTAATGGTGGAGTATTAATATTTAAATCTCACAAAAACAATGTCTCAATCGTTTTAAGATCTCGTGACGTGAGTAAGGTCTTTGTAGTTGAAGTTGTTAACAATATTTATCCATATACTTGAGGTTTTAAGTTCATTTTCACCCTCCCTCAATCTCTTGAAAAAAAAAAAAAAAAAAAAAAAAAAAATAAATGTGAGGGATGCCTAATTTTATTTATTTATTTGTTGAAAATCAAATGACCACATACAAGAGTAAAATATGATTTCTATCACAAATGGTATACGAACTTTTCAATTAATGTGATCCTTAATCTTTTGGTCCACAACATATCAATTCGGTCGTGCGCCTTGTGTTATGTCAAAATCTTCTTTAAGATTGTTTGCCTGACCAACTTTAAATGGGTATTTTCGTCAAAATACAACTTATCCAACACCGTGTCATAAAATAAAACTCACATATTTGACTCAACAAGGTTATCCATTCTCTTTGATGGACCCCATATGTGAAACTTTAATTGGAGAGCATATGACATGGTTGAGCAAAAACGTAAGTTTTATGAGTTAAATGAACTATATTTTGATAACAATATTCCTTTAAAGGGTGTCATGCAATTTACAAGTGACCAATTTAATGAAGGTTCTGCTAAAACGCGACAATATGGACCAAATTAATGCGTAGACTGAAAGATAAATGATCATTGCTTGATTTGACAATTTCAGAACTAAAATGAGGAATTTTAAAAAGTTTAAGGAGCACATGTGCTTGTATCTTACTTAAATATATCCAAAACAATGTCACTTTGAGTTTAAAGGTTAAGTGCGAGATTTTCATCTAAATGAAGTCCTACTTCATTGTACCAATATGCACTTTTGTGGTTAATTTCTGCAACAAATATCAATATGTAATTAAGCTTACCAATCCCCAGTGGATAGACATTCACACATCTTGCATACAAATTAACAAGCGCCAAGAGAATGCAAATCCTAGGGACAGCTAGATTCTAGCCTTAGTTACCCTTTGAAGTATCTATAATTTGAAGATAAGATTACACATCGAAACCCCATATTAGTGATTGGATCATTGGAGAGATTCAGGTTGTGAGAGGGCCCTCATTGACTATGATCCAAGATCCTTCTTTGCCTTTTAATCGCATGTAAATGTCATGCTGAGTCAAAAGGATTAATAAGCTATAGATATTCTGGTTTTTATTTTTTATTTTATAAAATCCAATTAGATAGATTTTAAAGGTTTGCAAAAGGTTATTTCAGACCCTTTTTTAATTTTAATTTTTAAAAATTTTATAGTTTTAATCGCAAACTACAACAAAGCTCTATTGATCTTTGATTAGTTGACCACAGATGGCACTGAAAAAGTATGTAGAAAAATTCATCATGTAAAAACAAATGTTATATAATGCATGCATCAAGTTCAAAATGGTCACGATGTTCAAGACCTAAACACCTCCAAAACATTGGTTGATCGTACTTCCATTGATCAATAATTGGTGTACCATGTTCAAGACCTAAACACCTCCAAAACATTGGTCAAGTAGATCAATTTTATTTATCCGTCTCCACATGATCAATAATTGGTGTACCATGTATAGAAATCTTAAAATTAACAATAAATATAATTCGAGGCAATTTTTTACCATTAATTGCTTTTAAGATCGTATTATGAGATCCATACCAATCAACAATGTCAGGTGACATGCCATGCCAACATATACAAGAAATTGACGGTGACATTTCTTTCCTATATATAAAATTTAGATATAAAAATAAATTTTTTAATAAACAACTCATCTGATATGTGTGGATAACTGTGAGTAATTGATTACTAAGAATCCCAATATGAGATCTACATTGATTAACGATATTTTTCCATGCATGTATATATGAGCGATTGACTGTAACACTTCTCTTTAATATTACGTCTCTTATAATTCAATTATATATCAAAAGGAAAATTCTATGATTCACTCATGGGATACATGCTAGAGTTCATTCATGGGGATACATGCTTCCTTTTTGGCATACCATATAGATATATAGATCTATTAGATCTATCCACCTTTTCTGAGACACGAAAGAGAAAAGATATCTGATAATCGTACTTCAGATGCTTTTGGAAATACCAACTAATAAACGAAACAAAGTCTTATTTTTATATAATAATTTATTATTATAAATAGAAACATGAGTTGGCAAACATACATACGTGAATTAAGATAATAGTAATTTGAAGCACTAATCATGTATGAATTGACTAGATATTATTTTATTCTGATGACCCGAAAAGCTGTGCCAATGTTGTTGAAAGAAGAAACATATTCAAATCAAAAGTCCTCGGAGGAGGTGGTATATACACGATCCTCATACCAAACCCCACATACCTACCTACATATGAAAACAAGCAAATATATATATTTCATGGGGTGTCATATAATTATTAGACCTATAAGAGGTTGAAAGCATATAGCCATTGCTAACAAACTACCTATTGGGTACCAAGATTTGAAGAAACCCCACCATGCATAGAGATGAATGGAACCTGTCTCATTTTAAGGGCTTCCATTTTTTTTTTTCTTTTTTCTTTCCTTTACTTTTGTAAGGAGACTGATGAGGAAGGACGTTACACTTTTTGGTTAGGTATGTGAAAGTGAAACCCACCACTCTCAAACTTTGTACGGGAATCTATATATATGGTTGAATGAGGAGTTGGAATCCACTTAAAAGAGGGTTTTGATGTGAAGAAAAAACACATAGATTTTCGAATAGAGACACGAACATGGCTCCAAAGGCCTTTGAAAACCTCGGCTCCTTTTGTCATACGTGGAAAGATGAAGTCCACTTGATTCAAAACCCCCCTATCATTGCTGCCTTAACTGAATTAAATATAAACTCTTTGCAAGCCTTCAATTATTGGTCATGAGAGAAAAAGCAAAGCAAGACCCTTCCCCCAGCACCAGCCCCAGCCCCAATGTGTCTCATTTTCTACCTAAAAAATCTCTCTTCCTTTTCTCTTAGTCTCCTCCATCATTCAGGTCTTGGGAAAAAGATACCTAGGTTAGATCTTGTTTGTAGCTACACTTACATTCATATTATGCAATAAATATATATATGCAATATATTAGATATGGTCTGCACAAATCCCTCTTGCTCCCACCAACCCAAACCACAAATATAATAATAATATTGCATCCAATCAGTTCATGTGCAGTGATGTTCCAATTAATGTAAATTGTGGCCATTATTTATAAGAATATGCGATGGGATTAGTTTATAAGATAGCATGGGAAGGAAGCTTATGGCTCAGTGTTCATGTTGGCTAAACAATGGTCCTGAGTAGATACGTGTAGAGGAGCTTCTGTGTGCTTGGAATGGATCTTTTTACACGTGTTTGGACCTAGAGAATTGGTCCCCGCATTGAAGGTCGAGCCATAGAGGCTGTGGTCTGTCTTGGAAGTACACTATAAATAAACATATATATATATATACATATCGAAGTTATGGAGATGGGGATGGTACTTGGTCGGGCATGACAAGCCCATTGGTCACATGGATTCACATGTGAGCCAGATGCCCTTTGCTCTGTAATTGACGTGGGGAAGCAGATGAAGAGGTCCTATGTGTATATAGGTCATTGGTCGAGCTTGTCAGAAGGCTCTTGACTGGTTTGAAAGAGATTGATGGAGGAGGAGGGGAAGGAATATATATGAATAATTGGTGTGTTTGTGTTTATTGTCATTGGTGGTTCGAATATTGTACCGATTGCATGCATGAATGGGTGCAATTCTTTTTTGAGTAGAGGACGTATGAACAATAATGCATTTTGCTTGCCAACAAAAGGTTCTGACTTGCATAACAGTGGTTTCAGATTCGAATTCTCATGTTATCTTGATAGTGTTTGGAAAAGAAACCCCCTTCCATTTTAATACTACTTTAGACTATCACTCACATTAAAAAAATAATAAGTATAATGCATTTTGCTTGGTAGAAGAGTCAATGATTGAATTATTTGAACTCCAAGCTTTCTCTTTCTTTAACATTATTGAATATGGAAGGAAGAGTCAAGAAGTGTCTCCTCACTCGTGGTCTCAATAAATGTGGGAAAGCAAAACCTAAAAACAAAAGAGAAAAAGACGACGAAGAACACACCATGAAGTCCATGACATTGATATAATTAATGGTTTTGTATTGTTCTTGGTGAAAAAGAGCAATGGTCGATCAATTGCATTGGATCAATAGGGTTTTTAGCAGCCAGGCTAAAAAGCAGTAACATCTAGAGCTTGTATACGTAGACAATTGAGATTTGGCCATTCCCTCACTTCTCCCTAGATTCCTCCTAGCTATGAGTTCTATCTTGATAAATTAATAGCTTGGTTCAAATAATAACATTTTGTCTCTCCACATGGACAATACATATAAAATTAATACTTTAAGTCAATTAATAAGCCACATGTAGTAAATTTAAATTACTCTAATATACATAAAGGAGGCATGAACTCAAGTGCAATACGA